CAATAGACCTCTTTTAAACACCAAACATAAGCTACCCCACTATCGGTCAGTGGGTTAAGAAGATACAGACACCAACTGGTTCTGAGGGCAGTTTTCATGAAACAGGATGCATAAAAAGGTACAAATAAGATAATATGTGTTAAGTTTTAATGCCCAGTTTTTCTAGACCACAGCAGCTCGGTCAGTTTGAGCATAAAAGTGATTAATATAAAGTGGTTTTTAGCATGCTGTAACCTTTAAAAAATAAAAGGTTCAAGAGATGATGAAAAGAGAGTGAAGCTTTTTGCACCTTTAACTGTTTTGACACCTCTGAGTGTCAGATGAACCCCCCCTCCCCCCTCCCCCCTAGTCTTTTAGCCAAAGCAAAGATTCATCACAAACATTGGACAGATGGGTACCATTAGCTGGGCCAAACCATTAATAAACATGAAATGTTTTTAAACTCCAAGATGGCGATAAGTGCGATCGTCAGAAATGATGGACGTAAAATCTTCTTTTACGGTTTCCATATGTCAACATGCCGTAGTGTTTACTGCAGGCTGCTTAAAATCATTTCTTTCCTTGTGTTTTTTCTTACATCACTTTCCGTCCTGGACGTGGTTTTCATTTTTGTTAGAGAACTTTGACACCGCAGCAGATGGAGTGATATTTATCTTTTGAATTGCAGTGTTGACAATAAATGTAATAGTTTTATTTTATTTATTATTATTATTTTTTGTGTTAAGTCTTTTAAGTTGAGGTGGTGGACAGGGGATAAATTTAGGCTCCAGTCCCTGAATCAGACACTTCAGACCAATTGATCATCTTGTTTCGTAACCCCAAATCTCCTTTAATACTGACCGCCTCAGCAGCACCCAACCGTTMTCCTCCCTCATCCATCACTTCGTCTGTATGTGGGCAGACCTTCAAATCTTTAATTTTTATCTCCTCAGCTATTTGTCGCCGTGGAGACTTGACGTGTGTGGATTTGATGGCCTGGTGGGGGTTTGGGGTTAAAGAGCTGCAGTGATCATGGGAGTGTGGAAAGCCACCCTGGTGCAAAGCAATCATAGCCGGCTCTCTATCATCCTGCCCCCTCCACTACCTCCAACCTCCCTCTCTCAACCCATCACCCCTCAGAGGTGCCTCTTGGGTCCCCTCCATTATTCCCAGCTCACTAGTCAGAAAATTAGGGTAAAACTCAGCAGGCTTTCCTCCTCTCCCCAACTCCCCTTCTGTCTGTCCACCTTCCCACCTTCCCACCTTCCATTTCTCACCCATTACGCCCAGTTCACTGGCTGGTATATGGAGGGTGACTATGAGCCAATTCAATCTCTCATCCCCGTCAAGCCACTCAGTCTCCTGGAGTACCTCAGCCTCGTGTCTATATATACCCACCCAGCAAGTTATCACTCTCACACCTCCCCTGTATATCCCTCCAACACAGTACTTCCTATTTTCTTATGTCAGTCTTGCTTTCCTTGCAGTTTCTTCTGACTTTTTTTCAGTCCTGCATGTTTCCAGTTTATTTTTAAGATGGACTTTTACCAGGAAAGTTTTGCTTATCATGGAGGCTGTAAGGAATTATTTGTGTGGCTGGGTTTGTGACAACAATATAGTGAGACAACTATAAATTAGTTGCTTAAAGTGTGTATTTTTTACTCACTACTTAGTGCAGATGAGTGAGTTCACAACTAAGTTTTGCACAAGTGCAGCTGTGTGTTTAGAAGTGATCTCCTGGATGGCTTTGACCTGCACAAGCTTACTGGGTTAGCTAATCTTTAATGCTGCAGCGCTGCTGTTTTCCAACTACACTGGCTGCGGGATARTTTCTTTTCTTGCATTATAATGACCTGGGTTGCATCATGAAACACCTCATTTAAAGGAGCGCGGCTTTTGTAACCTGTCTCTTGAGAATGTAGCTTATTRAGCTAGATTGGGTTTTAAGCATCATTTGCATCATTTACAGTAGTAAAAGGTTGAGGAACAAACCCTGAGTCAGCCAGAAAAATAWTATGCCTTAGTTTATTTCTAACAAAGCTGCCTTGGAACATGTAAAGAAAATACATGTCAGTGTTGAAAACATTACCTTTCTTTTTTCAATGGATTTATTTCAAACTTGTCACAAATTTCTTTGTTTTTTTCCCCATAAAGTCAAGTTTATTTTTACTTTTTAAGTTGTATTGCCTTATATTAACATTAAAGTGATTGGGTGACTTAAATACCTTTGGCCTTATTGAATGAGTGTTTTTRTTTCATTTTATTTTGAGCCATGAAAATAATCATAAGGGGATAGATGTAYAAAAAAGACAATTCTATTCACAAACAGCTGCCCTGTAATAGACATGAGGCTTTAAATTTTTGATTGCARGTCATTTTAGGTTCTGTTACATCCCCTTTTTTTGAAGTTTATCTCTGAGTGTGTAGAAATGCTGCTTTGCAATCTAACATTAACTACTGTGATTGGTGATTTTCCACATTTTTTGTGCAAATATTTAATTCCATTCTTTTTTAWATGCTCCAGTTTTTCCAATATAACTTAACTGTAAATGTTAATGTCAGCAGCAGAAAGAAAATGAGAATTGCTTGAGTTTAAATAAGCCTTTGTTAAGCAATTATGTAAAACTACACTTTATTGCTCGGTGCAGACTGTGGGACATCACAGCAATCCTGGACACCTGCTATGAGGAGAGGAAACAAATGTAAACACAGAATTTCTATTGCTGCAATATTTGTGATGTTGTGCTTAAATAATATGCAGGCAGTGAGTCATTTAAGATTTGTAGAGCTGAGGACAGATATGCARGTTCTGATGCTGAAATTAGATGACTTTAGGAATATTAGTAAACACTAGCTCCTCCCACAGATGGCTTGTAAAGAGGTTTATTGGATGTATGTCATGATGAAGATGAAAGTAGTTTAGTTCACAATTAAACTTTGATAAACAGAAGATGTTTAATTTAATCCTGACAGTATAGAAACAGACACAATGAACAAAATAAAACAGGTTTTGTTTTATAATAAAGTTTATTCTATATTACAAATAGTATTTTATTCTTGACTGCAAAATAGGAATGCATTATATTTACATACACAGGTATACAATTAATTATAACAAAGTTAGAGAAGCTTGCCTTATATCCCCCAGGTTTTTCTTTCTTCATAAGATACTCTTTATCTTTCAAATATGATCTAGTAAAAGTCTTTTCTAGCACGTTGGTATAACACCTGCAATAACACTGAGCTAGGAGGACATTTTTATTTCCTACAAAGTATTTGAAGGTGGAAACTTTATCTGAGCTCCCCACAACATGAGGTGACTACAAGCAGGTGACCTCTTATRTCTGTGGGTTTATATTGTGCAGATTGGCAATGACAACCCAGGGCTCTGTTTGTGCTACTTCATCATTTTAGGTGCGGTATGTTTTTTTGGTGATGTCTTTCTGAAAAAAATAGTAATAATAAAAAAATAACCGTTTATCAGTTGTATTCTAAGCAAATCGTCTTATAAATATGTATTTAAATGAATTGTAGTAAACATTTTGTAAATGCACTCCCCTAAGTTGCAGACAACATACCTTCTGTAGAGCTGTAGAAAATAACTGAGACAATAATTTGACTTAATGGCTTTGTAATTTGGGTAAATCACAGATGTAATTTCTTCTGTTTGTGAATGTGTGTTCATGGCAGATAAATGATTTGGTTTATTTTTATGTAGTGAAGCCATGTCTTTTTTTCATAGACACATTTCTTATCTTATCTAAGAAAAAAAAACATTCCTTTTCTGTCCTGGCTCTGCAGAAAAATGAAAAAGTGAACATAATGCAGTCATAGTAGTGAAGAAATTTAGAGTTAGTAGAATGTGGATCTTATGGCAGTACAGGCAAATTATCTGTTTATTTTTAAGTTCCTAAAGGAGTAAAACCCAAATCATGTAAGGAGAGGAGGTTCATTGCTTCATTTACTGTAGTTTCTCCTTTTGCACTGAAAAACACAATGAAAAAGATTCTGTCGTATAATATTTGTTGTCATGTTTTAGAGGGACATTTGTCCATAAAATGTCAAGACTGCAAGGCTGWTCAAATTAAGTGAAAAAAAGATTTTTGCTTCTTTTAATGTAAATGACCGACACTTAGATTAACAGAGAATACAGTATATAGGCTCATTGGCATGGATAAAACCAAAACAGCTGAACAATGTTCAGTTTGTCTAAATGCAGTGAAGTTGTCTGTATAAGGGCTTACAAATGTTTCCCATCATATTTCTTAAAAAAAAGACAATGGGTCATTTTCACACCCAAAGGCTGGTTGGATTCTGTTAGCTAAAACTAAAACCAAACAGGATGCATTATAATGAAGGACTTGGTAGATAATTTAAACTCCCTAATAGTTTTAGAATTAGATAAATACCGTTGAGCAAGGCAGTTCCATTTTACACCATCCAAATAGGTCAACATGCAAAGCTTTATGTTTTATTTAACATCTATCATTTGACAAAACTGTGGCCATAAATTGCTGCAGGGACCGAGCATGATAAAGGTTCCACCTTCAACAAAAGTTATAGATTTTCTTACATGAACAATCCACTTTTTCCATCTTGTTTCTTCCAAGCAAAAGAAAGATTAAATAACACATCCACATCATCATTGCAAGGCTTAATTTTCTTGTTTTTTTCACTATTTTTTTAAAATAAGTTTCTTAAATGGTTTACGTTTTACATGCGCTTAAAAAGCCAATAAAGGACCCAAGGTGGACCTAGGGCGGTCTTCACACATTCACATCACCACATGGGGCACGTTGTCAAGGCAAAAGAAAGGGCAGAGGTCAAAAGGTACGGAGGGCGCTTCCATCATCTCTTTCAGTCGCTCTGTCCCTTGGTGGAGGTTTATATCCAGCAAGTTTTACCTACTGTTGATGTCTGTGATGCTGACTTGTTGCTCTGCTTGATCCGATTTTTTTTTCACTTTTCTTTGAGGCGTGGAGAAGGCTGCCCTCTGCCGCCACTGAGGACAACTACACTAATACAGAAGAGTGCTTCAACAGTTCTACACTCAGGAGTTGGGGTTTTTGTCGAATGCATTTAGCTACCATCTCCAACGTTTGTGCAAAACAGATAAGAAACTGTTAAGTCAGGAGCCAGACGAAAGGATGGATGGTGTGCCGAGAGAAGGAGGGAGCCAGGACGATGGAAAGAGAAAGGAGGATCATATCTCGTCGTCCRCAAAGCCTCTCATCTCAACACACTGAGGTCAGGAAAAAAATCACACAGGCTTTTTGAAGTTTCAGTCACAATATATATTTTTGTACTAGAAGTTGTTGTCTTGTACATAGTCCTTTTTTGTAAGTTCCTCAGTGGCACTTTATAAATACATTTTGACCATTTTGAGAATTTCAAGCTCCTTTGGTTTTTGGCTGACCAGCTGTCATTCAGTTTTTCCCACACAAAAGTCTTTAAAATAAAAACATCCTGGGAAAAAGGTGCTACTCAGACAACAGAGCCCCTGTAGGTAGCAGTCAGCCATCTCTGGCTACACTGTTTGAATCATTTGTTTTCACTGATAAAACAGTTTCTAATCCTGTGTGTCTCAGTCAGCTCTTCCCTTTACCTCCTTCTGGGTTGGTGTGCACATCTGGGCAGTCAGGATYTTGGGCAGCTGCTGATTTGTGTAAATGTTCATGTGTGTGCTTCGATAGACCGTCGCAGTAGCGACACAAGGTTGGAAGAGACTGCTGTGGTTGTTTGGACTGGCAGTCAAAACACTGTCTTCCAGAGTTGGTTGTGTGCTTTTTTACAGAGGATCCAGCTTGGGTGGGGTTCTAGGGTTTCACCTAATAGCTTAATTTTGCAGAAGCCATATAAGCCAAATGAAAGCACGCTGGGCAGGTAAAAATGTGTGAAAGTTGCTATGAGCTAAAGGCTGGGGATGCTCTGCTTTAGTGTCTGTCATGTTTCAGTAAAGRAAAAGTTCAGAGGAGCAATATTCTTTTCCTTCCCCCATCAGTCTTTTTCTTAAATACAACTCCAGCTACATTGATAAAACAAAAACATTCTAGGTTTGCCTGGACTTGGCCCAGATTTTACAGATATGTATGCTTTTTTTGAGGGTACAGTGTAAACTTGACAAACCATTCTTGCATTATTTTTTTCCAGAGGTGTTCATTTGGCTTGCAGTCATCACCTTTGATGTTTCCACTTGTATCCATATGTTGAACATAGAACTACAATAAACTGAACTCTAGAGATGGTTTCATCTCAACTAWTCTATTTTTAAAAGTTCAACATATGGACACCCATTATGGTTTTTAAAGAATTACTATCAGTGTAAATTCTTAAAGGCAACATAAAAATGTTTTTCCCCTCTTGTATTCCAGCAGGGGGAGTGTGCCAATATGGCTAACTTTCCAGCAATCACCCTATGAAGCTCCCCCTGTGCTGAAGCTGAGGGATGTCCCACATTTCTCTGAGAGACACCGGCCTCAGCTGCTCGCCACCTCTCACATATATTCAGGTAAACTAGTTTATGCAGCTGAGTGGATGAGGAAAACAAAAATATCTCTCAGGGAGGAGGAAGCAGAAAAAAAGTTGAGGAAGAAGTCAGCTCTAAAAAGCGGAAGGCGGAAGTCATGATGAAAAAAAGATGGGGACAGGTCTTCGCTCAGGCACGGCTCGGTTTCTGACGGGGTCTCTTCCCAGTGCACCCTGGGAAGTGCGGTCCTCAGCTCTCCAGACTCATGAAGGCCACCACCTGCTCCAGCTTGAAGGCCAGCCTCTGTTTCCTGGCTGTGTCATCTTGCTCCAGTGAACACACGATCTGTCAGCAGGATGGTGAGGTAAACACAGACAYATATTACTGATATGTACGTAATAATGTACTGTATTTACTACAATGATCACTGAAGCAACAGATGTGGTCAAATTTGTTTCTATCATTTTGGAAACCAAACTGGCTACGGTAACCCTAACTCATTGTACAACATTTTGCCTTAAGACTTCTGCTCCTGGCCATGTGTGTTTTGGTCCACTCAGTCTTCAGACCACACCTTTCTGTTCCTTCCACRGATTTTAAGTAGATTTTTTATCAGAACTCGGAATGCCCCTTGAGAATAGAGCAATGTGTTTTGGGTTGTTATCGTGTTGGAGGACCCATGATCYGAGACCAAGCTTTCTGACACTGAAGCTCATTTCACTCCAGAATGTCCTAATCTTACGACAGCCCAGAACATACCTGAAGGATGTCCCCCATTTCTCTGAGACACACAGACCTTACCTTAGTTTAACAAAATGGTAAAAACCAATGTTGCCACATCTGTGTCTTAACAAAATTATTTATGAACGACTGAATGGGGAAAATGGTTTTAATCTCTATAATAACTTGTCTTATTAGCTCCTAAGGCTGAACAGGTTTGGACAACTTCTACTTGAGACACACTCTGTGATGGATCGAATAAAAAAGTTGTGACAAGTGGAAGGTATTTAATGTGTAATTTCTATGAAAAGCATTCTTAAAATACATTCTTAGATTTTGCTGTCAGGTTGCTCACAGCTTTTTCAATTTAGAATCAAAAGCTCAAAAATAAAAAGAGTTAATAGAATATTTCAGTCTATTATCTGTTTAGAATATTAGGCAGAAGTTCTGCTAACAGMTAGTCCTAGAACAAAATACTTTTCTTAAAACTACTCCATGCTCAAAGAATTAAATTAGGTTAATGTGAATGTTGTTTTGTAATTCACTGAAGACATTATCCATTATCAGTAAGGATCCAATTGAGTAAAAACATTAGTTTCAAGAATAGAGTTGTTATAGTGGTTCTGCTCATCTTCCCTGAGAGAACTTCTGCCTGATATCCTAAGCTTTTAAWGCTTAGAGAGATGGCTACCACAGAAAGACATTAACTCAACAAAACAAATTTTAATCCTGCATAAATCTTGTTTTAAGCAACATATTCAGTGTTTTAGACTTGAAAGAAATACAGCTTTACATACCTCCTCAGTGTACTTTCCCACATAGGAGTAAATCTCACTGAGTGAGCTCATACTGTTAAACTCATTCATGTGCATCCGTGACTGTTCTGCCAGGTAGGCATTCATGTCCTGGTCACTGATTGCTGGCATCTTGTTAATATCTGAGTAGTACCTGTTAAAAGACAAGAGAAGGAATGAATCAAGGCATGAACACTTTTTATTTGGAGGGAAGAAGGTAAACTAAACCCACCCCCAATAATTACTAATGATATTCCTATCTTGCACAGAAGCTGCACACGTGCTTCATGGTAAAGTAACCAAAATGGAGACGTCATCGAAGCAGAGCTGCTTAAGATTTCAACTTGAAACACCACACGAAGCCACTGAGGTAAAGGCAATCAGTCACTGTCGGCAGCAGCTGTGTTTCCCCATATCAGTTATGTTAATTAAAGATTCTTATTAACATATTAAATTCCTGTAGCAGCAGCTGCTTGAGGACAGGCCTGGTGGCTGGTTAGATCGTTCTAGCAGAGTGTGTGCTAGAGATGGCATTTTCTAAACAAGCATTCAGAGTGAAGGAGAAAGCTGGTGAGTGCTGCTCATGCCTGTATCACCACTGTACTGCATAGATGTTATTCAGATGAATATTACAGGAGGCTGTAACATGTCTAACTGATGCATCTGAAACCTGTCTTTACATTCAGGSCCAATTTATAAAACACTGATTATGAGTGAAACTGTAGCTTTTCTGCTGTGGTTCTCAGGTCTCAGAGTAAGGTTTTTGGAAGACCCCCAAAGGTTCCTGTATTTGTTTCTCATGTTGAGGCTGCATGTTTCCTTTTTGTTGATGTCCAGCATCAGTGTTACCCCAAATATATGGTAATTTATGTTTTAAGTCCCCCTTCTTTTCTGTGCACGTTTCCTAGTCACAACACACACCTCATCTTACACCCCCCCACCCCCCAAAAAAAGTTTAAAGTGATGTACGATAGTTCATCATTCTCTGCCTGGCATAGAAAGTACAGTGGATCAATGTTAATATGTTTTTTTTGGTTTGCTACACAAAACATTGAAAAATGCTAACACTTCCAGAGATCCTTCTTGTGTAAACGTGGCCTCAATTAATGTTGGAGTTTTAGGCTCTGTTTACACAAGAATGAACATTAGTTATATCCTGCAACATTAGTGTCATTTTAATTTGTATTTGGGCAAATAAAACAAAACATGTTTATATGGAACCACTGGGTTGCCAGATGGAACAAGATAAACTGTTGTTCTTTTGCTTTAAATTTATATTTTAACCCAAACGGTGAGTGAGGATATTGTAAGATGAGGTGTGTGTGTGTTTGGTGAAAAGGAGGGTCAAAAAGCTTATTTTTATGATTATCTGGCAACCCTGATGCTGGACTCAGCTGCATGATCACACTYCCATCAAAACTAGTGAATTTATCCACATCAATGTATTGTAAATTGTTTCTTTGCCTGTAATCACATAACTGTGTGTTGGGTATTTCACTAAAAATTTCCACTCTAAAACCAGAATTCAGAAACCTTGGTTTCAGAGAGACGAGGCCTTAAATCTCTAAAACCATKATAAAGAAATGACAATAATGCCTCATAGAACCATTATACCATATGTTTTTCTACAATGGCACAAAACTTAATTATAATTGTGTGAATGAAGTGGCAGGTGAATGTTATTGACTGGAGACCTTAAACTCCCACATCAAATTCAAAGTAACTGTGAATAACTCCGTTCTGCTTTCCTTCACCAACTTAAGTTGATAGAATCAACATAAAGTGATAARTAGGAAATAAAAAGCTCTGTCTGAAATAATTACTTTGTTCAACATCAAAGCCACAATAGACTATTCTGACATTAGCCAATATTGAACAAATATCTTTGTAGATTTGAACACAGCTTGGCCTTTTAAAACAACTTTCAACATAAAAACACTGTTTTCTAAACTTTTACATCATTGCTTTTTAGTCATTTTTAGAAAATTAGAAAAGTGATGCAGTGTAAAAAAAATTAAAGTTAGTTTGAACTACAATATTTTTTCTTCAGATGGTTTCTCTGCAAGGTTACATGGAACTTTATAGTAGGTAACAGAACAATTCAGTCTTATGAAATGTTGATGTAAAGATAAAAAAAAATAGTGTTTAACTTTGAGAATTGAGTTCCTGGCCCTGCTTGTACTAGCTGTTAGCTCTTCTCCACAAAACCTGAACTATTACGGTAATCTCCAAACAGCATTTATCTTTAGGTGTATTAATGGGCTAACTCAGCCTGAGGCTTCCTGCCTGAATTCTTCTCTTGAAGGGATAGCTTGATCAGTCTGCAGTGATGTTCTCTGAAATAATATCTTATCAGTTTTGACTTAAAATCAGAGAATGTAGAAAGAGAAAACATGAGCCTCAAATATAAAAMTCTTGCTCCAAAAAGATGACAAACTSTTTATTTTGTCACTGTTTACTCAGCATAACTACACATGAACACAGCTTTTATCCCAGTCGTCTCAAGTCTAAAACTTTGTTCAACTCTTGGCAGATATGGAAGTTCGTGCTGATCAATGAATTCAGCAGTCCTACATTAGCACAATAACAGCTGTTTGGTTGAGAAAACAAACTAAACAAAGGGTCTCCTGCTAAAAATGCATCAGTCTGACTCCYCCCTGTTGCTACAGGGTGAGTCAGAAGTCGCAAGACACCCTTTTATTTCAGAAGGAAAAGGGAGAAATGACATTTCTGAATACTCCAGCAAGTAATGGGTGAGAGGGCTATCTGAAAAAGTTGCCCTTGATCCATAATGGTGGCCATATCCTGGACATAGCTGAGAAGATAGACCCTCACCCATTACTTGCTGGCAAATTCAAACATGTCATTTTCCCTTTTATTTCTGAAATAAAAGGGTGTCCTGTAACGTTTGACTCAACCTGTACATTCTCTGACTATTATTTATATATTTGACCATACATCACTTCACAATTTTCATTTTTAAAATAAAAGTATAGCACATTCTTTGCTTTTGAAAAAGTAAACTGATTTCCACTTTTTTGCTGTAACTCTTAAAAAAAGCCTGTTTTTTCCTCTGTCCTAACCCTTTGACTCTCTCAGTACAGTAGCTCTCATGCCGCGGGCGCACCCATCCATCCTCACTGTGTTGTAATTTGGATGGGGTTTCACAGCTCATAGATCAGTGCTACAGTCATGCTGTGTTTGTTGGCCTGAAACATAGCTAATGTAAGTCTTCTCTCTCTTCATCCATCCAGTGACTGGTGTACACACTCCTGCATGTGAACTGCTTACCTCTCCACCCAGCTTTTGTAGCTGGGGATGTCCTTGGCATAAAGCAGCTTGTTAGATGGTGAATCTTTCCCAAGGCGGTGTTCTGAGGTGGAGCAGGAGTCCATGAAGGTCTGGGCCACCACAGACAAACAGGCATCAGTGATGCTGCTCTTGTGGATGTCAAATACAAACTGGGGGTTCTTGATCACATTCACCCAGAAACGCAGAGGTAGGCTGCAGAAAGATGGAAAAAGGTAGATTAATGGAAAGCTATCTCCAAGTAAACAGCATTTGTACTTGCCATGATGATATGCACTTGTCTGTAAACACTAATTATGTGGAATGCAACCTGAAAATAAAGTAAGAYTCTAGGAGCTAATGAGGGATATTAATTAGTTTTTGCTGCTCAGCTCTTGTCAGTGATGAAATGTTAATGCAGTCATTGGAACACAGGAACAAAGAATGTGAAACAAAACACTGTGTCCAGTTGAACTGTTTGGAGATTAAGTCTCTAAATGCCATTTTCAAATTTGCCACAGTCAGCTAGTCAATAGGCACGAACATATTTGCCAGAGGGGAAAAGGGATTCATTCACTTTGCAAAGCGAGTACACAGGCCCTTCTGTTGCTGCTGTGTGACTTAATTTAATAAAGCCTTTATCTTTAAAACCAGGTGGATGCAGCTTCTTATTTTCTCCAACAGTGTCCAGTGGTCTTTGCTGGGGGCCACACAGCGACACAATTCATATTGCCTTATTTGTGCAAGTGGGACCTATTTCTGTTCCTGTCCAAAATAATAAAAATATACAAGTCTGTGTATTTGCTGGGCTTGTTTCTGCCAAAATAAATAGATATCGGGCCAGCTTTATCTGCAGTCAAAGGCGCTCAGGTGATCTCTGTATCTTCACTATTCTCTGGGCTATATGTAGTAGCTTATATGACAAGAATCTATCAGGAAAGGCACTGCATTCAGGCCTACACAAGTGTTTCAGCATGTGGTGCAATATTAATGGAAAAGGAGAAAAAAACAAGTGGAATGCAGTCATTTAAAATACAACCTGTGCTTCTCTACAATAGATTATTCTAGGACAACCACCCACAAAGCAATTCAGAAGTACAATCACACATAAGAGGATTTTGATGTTGGTAGGAAAACTCCATATTATGACTGCAAAATTAATCTAAGCAAATAATCTAGTGGGATTAGGTGCAGGGATCAAAGGAATATTAACACCACTGCTGTGCTGTCATGATTGAGTGCAATCTTCTGTTTCAGTGGAACAATAGTTGGCACAAAGRTTAGTTTCCCTTTACAATTTTTAAAATTGCGTTAAAAATAACCACTTTAATGTCTCAAAATTATCCAGCCAAAATCAAGTAAAGGTAAAACTCAGCAGATAACTCAACATTTGTAGGTTTAGCAATATGAATTATGTCCGTGATCTGGRCTTTTGCTCAAGGATTAGGGTAAATATCAGCTGCCAAGATCAAGGGCATCTATTACCCTGGAGGAATTATGTGGGCTGTTGCTTTGGGACGGGGGGAGAAATCCTGACCAGTGATTCAGGGCTACAACGAGGAGCTAACAGGGGCGTTTGGTAATATAAGCAACTGTTAACTAGCTTTATTTGCTTTACTAAGTAGTCTTTGGCATATTTTATGGCTCCATTTGAAAGCAACTCTGCTGATCCTCATCTCATCTAATAAGGGAATTATCAATCAGCACTGTAATAAACTTTTTAATTATCAARGATAAAAACGACCACAATGTGTTTACTTCTAAATACAGATAGGATATTCAGTTTATTTGGATAACAATACAGACCTACTAAACCACAAACATGTAAATATACCAATAAAACAGTAAAATAAATTTCGACATGTTTGTTACAGCCCTAAAAATATTTGTGAATATTTCCAACATGTTGGGTGAAAGCTCATGTGTTCTGTCTCCTTGTGTAATCTCAGGATAACTGGTTTTTGGTCAAATGCTCTTGCTGTTACTTAGGGTTGCAGATATGACTTGATCTGTATTATTTATTTCAAGCCACTATAAACAGGATCTGGTATGATTATTTTCAGCAGGACTCTCAATAGACAAATATAATATTTTTTTAAAAAGTACATTCAACAAGCTGTATGTATGCAAAACWTGTGCAAAGTAATTAAAATCCTTTGTTCCATTTACATAGTGGTAACGGACATGCAAATGTGGGAACTGACGCCAACATGCTGCCATTACTCCAAAGGACACCATCTGGAGATGTTTAAGAGCCAGTGACTCATGGATGTACAAACTTATTAAACAAATAAATACACTGGAGACACTACTATATATTATACTGAAATACTAAAAGCTGAAGCAAACAGGACATTAGTGCTACTGGCACAAGTTGACTGTAGTAAAAAAGAAACACACACACACACACACACACACACACACACACACACACAC